CCCTATGGGAAAGTAGGAGGGGAAAGGGATAAGAGAAAGGTGAGGCTGATAGCAGGGAGGATAGATTGGGGAATGCAAAAGAAATAAAACACTTGAGGATGGACAGGGTGAAAGGAGAGAGAAAGTAGAATAAATGGGAGAAAATAGGATGGAAGGAAATACACAGTAATCATAACTGAAAAAAAAATGACAAGTTGCTCTGATAAAGACCTCATTTCTCAAATATATAGAGAATTGAAATAAATTTATAAAAATAACAGCCATTGACCAATTGATAAATGTTCAAACACATGAACCAGCAGTTTTCAGACAAAGTAATCGAAGTTTTCTATAGTTATATGAAAAAAATGCTCCAAATAGGGGGGCAGAGCCAAGATGGCAGAGTGAAAGCAGTGACTTGTTTGAGCTCTCCCCCAAACCCCTCCAAATACCTGTAAAAAGTGATTCTAAATAAATTCTAAAGCAGCAGAACCCACAAAAAGACAGAGTAAAACAAATTTCCAGCACAAGACAACCTGGATGGTTGATCAGAAAGGTATATCGCACCAGGTGGGGAGAGGAGCGCTGTGAGGGTTGGGCACACAGGCCACAGCAAACCTGGAGCAGTCCTCAGAGGACTGAATCGCAGGCAGTTGTGGTTGTTTCCAGACTTCTCAACCCATGAACGCCAAAAACAACTTAGAAAGTCAGTGGGAAAAGTCTGTGACTGCAGTGAGAGAAAGAACTAGGTCTCAGCCACAAGTCTCAAGCGTGGCCTGGGGCAGCGACTGTTTCCTGAGCTTCCAGGCCACAGACCAAGGGGGAATCAAGTGGCTGATCTGACGGAGATTGCATGCATCTTTTTGCCAGTGCTAAGGCAGGAATCTCTTGCTCTGCCCATGCTTGGATCTAGGTCACAGTTCTGAGGGGCGGTCCTGGGGTGAGGAGGAGCACTGGCCTGGTAGAGCTTGTTGTGGCTTTGGAGAGGAAACAGCTCACCCTTTATCATATCACCTTGGAAGAATTGAAAATTTATAGATCCCTAGAACTATCTCTGAAAATAGATGTACAAACCCCCTGAAGTTTGGGACAGTACATTCTCCACATTGGAAGCAGACTCTTACATTGACAAAGAGTATAAAACTCAAATAATTGGCCAGGATCATGAGTAAGCAGTGCAAAAATAGTCAGACTATATTATCTAACTTTGGGGATAAAGAAGATCAAAACATACAACCAGAAGAAGACAACAAAGTCAAAGCTCCTACATCCAAAGCCTCCAAGAAAAATATGTATCAGTCCCAGGCATTGGAAGAGCTCAAGAGGGATTTTGAGAAGCAAGTAAGAGAAGTAGAGGAAAAACTGGGAAGAAAAATGAGAGTGATGCAAGAAAATCGTGAAAAACAAGTCAACAGCTGGCTAAAGGAGAACCGAAAGAATACTGAAGAAAATAAGACCTTAAAAAATAGCCTAAACCAAATGGCAAAAGAGGTCCAAAAAGCCAATGAGGAGAAGAATGCCCTAAAAAGCAAAAATGGCCAAATGAAAAGGAAATCCAAAAGATTACTGAAGAAAATACTTCCTTAAAAATTAGAATAGAGCAATTGGAAGTTAGTGACTTTATGAGAAATCAAGACAATGTAAAACAAATCCAAAAGAATGAAAAATTAGAAAACAATGTGAAACATCTCACTGGAAAAACAACTGACCTGGAAAATAGATCAAGGAGAGAAAATTTAAAAATTATTGGACTATCTGAAAGCCATGATCAAAAAAAGAGCCTCGACATCATCTTTCAAGAAATTATCAAGGAAAACTACCCTGATATTTTAGAACCAGAGGGCAAAATAGAAATTGAAAGAATCCACCAATCTCCTCCTGAAAGAGATCCCCAAAGGAAAACTCCTAGGAATATTGCAGCCAAATTCCAGAGCTCCCAGGTCAAAGAGAAAATATTGCAAGCAGCTAGAAAGAAACAATTCAAATATTGTGGAAATTCAATCAGGATTACAAAAGATTTAGCAGCTTCTACATTAAGGGACCACAAGGCATGGAATACAATATTCCAGAAAGCAAAGGAGATAGGACTGCAACCAAGAATCACCTACCCAGCAAAACTGAGTATAATCCTTCAGGGGAAAAAATGGTCATTCGGTGACATAGAAGACTTTCAAGCATTCTTGATGAAAAGACCAGAGCTGAATAGAAAATTTGATTTTCAAATATAAGACTCAAGTGGAACATGAAGAGGTAAACAGTAAAGAGAAATCATAAGAGACTTATTAAGGTTGAACTGTTTATGTTTCTGCATGAAAAGATGATATTTGTAACTCATGAGACCTTTGTCAGTATTAGGGTAGTGGGAGGGGAAAAAATTATATGTATGTATGTAGATAGATAGATAGATAGATAGATAGATAGACAGACAGACAGACAGACAGACAGACAGATAGATAGATAGATAGATAGACAGATAGATAGATAGAGGGCACAGGATGAGTTGAAGATGAAGGGGTCATATCTGTAGAATAAAATTAAGGGGTGAGAGAGGATTATACTAGGAGAAGGAGAAAGGGAGAGGTAAGAACAGAGTAAATTATCTCACAAAAAAAAAACAGAAAAGAAAAGGCTCTTACAGTGGAGGGGAAATGGGGGAAGGTGAGAGGGAATGAGTGAATCTTTTTCTCATAGGATTTGACTTAAGGAGGGAATAACATGCACACTCAATTGGGTATGGAAATGTATCTTGCCCTACAGGAAAATAGGGAGCAAAGGGGACAAGACAGCAGGAGAATGATAGAGGAAAGGGAGTAATCAGAAGCAAATACTTCTGAGGAGGGACAGGTTCAGAAGAAAAATAGAATAAATGGGGGAGGGCAGAATAGAATTAAGGGAAATAGAGTTAGTTTTTCACAGCATGTCTACTATGGAAGTGTTTTGCATAACTGCGCATGTATAGCCTATATTGAGTTGCTTGCCTTTTCAATGAGGATGGGTGGGGAGGGAGGAAAGGAGAAAATTTGAAACCCAAAGTTTTAAAAACACATGTTTAAAACAATGTTTTCACGTGCAACTGGGAAATAAGAAATACAGGAAATGAGGTACAGAAATCTATCCTGCCCTACAGAAAAATAGAAGGAGAAGGGGATAAGAGAAGGGGGGAGAGATAGAAGTGAAGGTAGACTAAGGGAAAGGGTATTCAGAATGCATGCCATCTTGGGGTGGGGGGAGGGGTGAGATGGGGTGAAAATTTGGAACTCAAAATCTTGTTGAAGTAAATGTTGAAAACTAAAAATAAATAAATTTATTAACAAAAAAATGCTCCAAATCACTATTGATTAGAGAAATGCAAATTAAAACAACTCTGAGATACTAACACAAGTATCTGATTGGATGATATGACAGAAAAGTAAAATGACAAATGTTGGAGGGGATGTGGGAAAATTGAGACACTAATGCACTGCTGGTGGAGTTGTAAACAGATTCGACCATTCTGGAAAGCAATCTGTATCTATGGCAAAGGGTTATAAAACTATACATCCTCTTTGACTTGGCAATACCACTGCTATGTCTGTATCCCAAAGAGATTTTTTTAAAAAGGAAAAGAATACACATACACACACATATATACATATAGATAGATAGATAGATAGATAGATAGATAGATATTACGTATGTGTGTATGTATACATATATATGTATGTATGTATGTGTATACACACATCCATACCAATTGGAAATTGAGAAAGAACTGATGAAGTCTGAATGCACATTGAAGCATTCTTTTTTAAAACAAAAACTTTCTTAATTTTTCTTTGGTTTTTAGAATTTGTGTTTTCTTTCACAACATCACTAATACGGAAATATGTTTTGCATGACTGCACATGTATAATCTATATCAAATTGCTTGACTTCTCAAGGAGGAGGAGCAGAAGGAGGGAGGGAGAGAATATGGACCTCAAAATTTGAATAAAATCAAACGTTAAAAATTGTTTTTACATTTGATTGGGAAAAATAAAACATTAAATCAGTACAACAAAAGGAAATTTCTGGAGTTGAGAAATCAAGTATATATGGGAGGGGACAAGTTCAATGTGTAAGAAAACTGGAAAAATAAAGGATTCTAGGTTATGAATGGCTTTGAATATCAAACAGACAGTTTTACCCAGAAGGAAGAGTAGAAAGATATTCAAGGTATCATATGAATCAGGTATGGGACAGGTAATTTATGCCTATACTCAGAAGAAATGCTAAAAATTAAGACTCACAACAACATATTTGACAAAAACAAAAAGCAACAATAACAGCAGCAGGATTCTATAATATGACTGCTCTTAGAATCTACTGAGAGGATGATACTTAAACACTATCAATATATACCACTTTATAAGCTTGATATTTAATAATTTCATATATCTCTTTAGTTTTACATTCTTCAAACACTCAATACATTTTTATTGGTAAAACAACCAGTCTTTGTCCGACCCATAGGTTTGTGGTCAACCTCTTGAATAACCCTATAGTAATTGTTAGGGGTTCATTTCCTGCTGCCACCCCCACCCCCAGTTCCAACTAGATAAAACTTCAGAATCCCTGAAATTTATATATTTCTTCCAGGCCTAAATGTGAGGAAGGTAAGTGGCACAGTGAATAGGGAGCAGGACCTTGAGTCAGGAAGACCTGAATTCAAATCCAGAGAGATTTGGTAATTAAAGAGAATAGTTTTGGTGAAATAAGGAGGTTGGAATCTAGATTGTAAGAAGAGAGTAAGAGGAGAGAAAGTTGTCAACCTTCTTAAGGTGTTTAATCACAAAGTACAAAAGAGATATAGAGTGGTAATTAGCAAGGGTAGAAGGATCAGATGATAGTTTTTTGATGATGGAGGAAATACAGGCATGTTTGTAGGCAGCAGGGAAGGAGTTAGTAGACAGGGAGAGACTGAAGATAAGTGACAGAGTGGAAAATAAAGGGGATGACAAAGGGGGCAATCTGTTGGAAGAAACAAGAAGGATTGGGATTACTTATGCAAGTAGAAGGGTTTGCCTTAGTAAGGAGTAAGGCCATTTCTTCATCTGAAACAGAGTTGGAGGAGACTGTGGGGAAAGGTATATGAATGATATGTGATGAAGAAGCAAGGAAAGGAGGGAGTTCACAGAAAATGGCCTCATCTTTTCCCCTGTAAAATATGAGAGAAACTTCTTAGCTTGAGAGTGTGGGAGTAGTGGGAGCCATGGGAAGTTTGAAGAGGGATAAAGAGGTTTGTAAGAACCACTATGGAAAGAGCAATAGTGAGTTGATAAGGGAGGTGTAGACAGATTGACTAGTAGCAGAAAGGGACCAATTGAGGTTGTGCAACTTTAATTTGTAGTAGACCCAGTCAGAATGATTGTGTGATTTTCTCCATCTTCATTAGGCAGCAAGTGTGTAGGAGTGAAGGCAGAGGATTGGGGAAGTGATCTAAGGCTGAGGCTTGTAAGGATGTGATCAGTGATATTATAAGGGGTCAAGGGATTCTAGAAAAGAGATGAACTGGTTTGCCAGGGAATCAAGGCGAGGAAATGAAGAGAGAGTGATTAGTGCAGGCATGATGGTCTGGGATACAACTAAGGGGTTGAAGAATTGGGGATCATACTGTGGGTGAAGAGTCTGGTAAGGGAAAGCAGAGGGACATGTGGAAAGTCAAAGAATTATGGTCAGAGTGGGGGATTTAAGAATGCTTGAACATGAAGGTGGTGCATTTGTGGGTGACTACAAGATCAAAGACATCACCATCTTTGTTCATGGCTGAGGTGGACTGGGGGGATATTGATTCACACACAGACAAAACACCTTGAATAGAAATTACATGTTTCATAAATACCTGTTCTAAGAGCCTCTCATTTCATCTTATTTTCCCAATTGCAGTGATTGTGCATTATCAGGTGCAATAATTTGATAGATCTGTGATACTTAAATAAACACAATTAGGAATTTAGGAAATCCTCCTAGTCTATGTAACAGCAGCTGGAAAGAATTAGATTGGGGCAGCTAGCATCAGGAAGATGATTCACTCAGGAAGCACTCAGAAAGTGAGTTCAAATCTGGCCTGATACTTATTAGATGTGTGAACCTAGATAAGTCACTTGACCCTGTTTACCTCAGTTTCCTTATCTATGAAATGAACTGGAGAGGGAAATGGCAAACCACTCCAATATTTTTTCCAAGAAAACCTCAAATGGGGTCATGAAGAATCATATACAATTGAACAACAACAAGAATTAGATTTGGGCTTTTCATAAAACTTTTATTCTAATTTCACCTTCCCTTGTAGGTTACCCTTCTCAGTTTTACATATAAATTTTAAAAAAAAGTTAAGGAAAAATTATCATAGGAAAGAAAGAAGAGCAGAGTGGCTCAAATACATATGAAAGTCTGTTCAAGGCATTGTATTAGTCAAAACCGGGGTCAGCTGAAAAATCTGCCTGACACTTACATGCTGGGTCTTCACTTTCTGCATGGCTGTCTTTACCTCTTTATTTCTTAGAGTGTATATTATTGGATTCAATATTGGAGCAAAAATGGTAGAGAACACAGAGATGACCTTGTCCACTGGGAAGCTGCTGAAAGGCCAGATATAAATAAAGATGCAAGGTCCAAAGAAGAGGATCACCACAGTGATATGTGCAGTCAATGTAGCACGTGCCTTAACCGTACCAGCTGATGAATGATGTTGTACAGTGACCAGGATGACAGTATAGGAAATAAGTACAAGCAGGAAAGAGATCACCCCTATTAGACCACTGTCCAAGAGCATTAGTATTTCTGGAACATAAGTATCAGTGCAGGCAAGTTTGATGACCAAAGTAAAATCACAATAATAACTGTCTACTACATTGGGACCACAGAAGGGCAAGTTTATAGTGAAGGCCAGCTGGCTCAGGGAGTGAAGGATCCCAATGACCCATGAAGCCACCAGAAGCCCTATGTATTTGTTCAAACTCATAATGGTTGTATAGTGTAAGGGGTTGCATATAGCCACATATCTATCATATGCCATAGCTACAAGGAGCACCATCTCACCACCAACAAAGACATGAAGCAAGAATATCTGGGCCATGCAACCCTCAAAGGAGATGGTCTTTAACTCTGCAAGAAAGTCAATGATCATCTTGGGGGTCACATAGGTAGCTAGGCATATATCAAAAACTGAAAGGTTACTCAGCATCATGTACATGGGTGTGTGTAGGAGAGGTTCCAAGATCACTGTGAGCACAATTAGAAGGTTTCCCAGAACAATGGCCAAATAAATTAAAATGAAGAGCACAAAGAAAAGAATCTGGAGCTCCCAGGAAGTGGAGAGTCCAACCAACACAAATTCAGTCACTCTTGAATGATTTCTCTGGTCCATTACTTCAGGCTGTGGCAGTTACCTAAAAGGAAATGAATCAGAAAGACAAATTAATGTTAAGGACTTGGAAGGCAGCACTCATTCCTAAAGATCACATTTCATTTATACAGAAATTTAATTAAGAATATTGTTTTCTGAGGCAGCAAGGTGGTGTAGTGGATAGAGCACTGGCCCTGAACTCAGAAGGACCTGAGTTCAAATCCAGCCTCAGACCCAACATTTGACACGTACTAGCTGTGTCACCTTGGGCAAGCCACTTAATCCCAATTGCCTCACTAAAAAAAAAAAAAAAAAGATTATTGTTTTCTGCTATCCACATCCAAAGAAAGAACTATGGAGTTTGATTGTAGATTGAAGCATATTATTTGCTATTTTTTTTTCCTGTTTTATTTTGTTTCCTCTTTCTGGTGGTTCCTCCTATGGGTTTTAATTCTTCCTTGTAACATCACTGATGTGAAAATATGTTTAATAGGAATGTATATGTATAGCCTATATCAGACTGCATGCCATCTTGGGGATAGAGGACGGGAAGGAGGGGGAGAAAAATTTAAAGCTCAAAAGCTTATGGAAGTGATTGTTAATATACCCAAATAAATTTTAATAAAATTAAAATTAATATTGTTTTTATAAATATTAAGGCACTCTACTGAGCAATAAGGATAGAGAGACAAAAAAGAGAGTGCGTTGGAATAGTCCCTACTTCAAGGAGCGAGGCAATGTAAGTTGCACAAAAATCAATTAATATAAGCTGTATTGAGAGAAGAAAAATTGCAATGAAGTTGAGAGACAGTAGGGAAAGCTTCATGGAGGAGGCAGCAACTGAACTGAACCTTGAAAGGGAATGAAGTAGCCATGCTTTGGGGATAGCAATGAACTGGGGGAAAGTATGATAAGTGTCCATCAGTTGGGGAATGGCTAAACAGAGTGTAGTCCAAGAATTTAATGAAATATTGTTTTACTATTAGAAATTGTGAAAATGAAGAATTTAGAGAAATGAGAGAAACAAACACGTGATAATTGCAACAATGTAAGTGGAAATATCTAGGAACAAAAACTGAAACTGAAAACGGTATGATTATCATTAGCAAGCTTTTCCCTGAAGAAGAGAGAAAATTGCCCTCCCAACCTTCCCTCAAAGAAGTGGGGGCTTTTAGTGTGGAACACGGAATTTACTAGCAGACAGTGATGATCTGATGTTTGTTTTTGCTGTACTATTATGCATTTTATTTTTTATTGTAAGGTATGGCTCACCAAGTTAGGGGTGGGGTGGGTAGGAGAAGATACATATTTAGTAATGAAGGTCATTAAAAACAAAAAAAATGAATTCAAAAAAGGAAGGAATCAAAACAATTACAAGTTTTAGAAGTTATGATCCCATGAGTAAATTAAATTGAAGCTAGGTAAGCTGTGTGATCCACTACACCAGTGGAAAGTAGCATTAAAACTCACTCCTTTCAATCTGTTACTAATTACCCTATTAGTTCTCTTATCTCACATTTCAAACCAATGAAGAAGTGTATTTTGACAGTTCCATATAAATTACTAAAATTTCAACATTTCTAATTAACCAATCAGTTGTCACCTTCTACCCCAGTTTAATAAATTGATCTATTCAATGAAAAAATTTCTCTCTCTCTCTCTCTCTCTCTCTCTCTCTCTCTCTCTCTCTCTCTCCCTCTCTCCCTCTCTCTCTCTTTGTCTTTCTCTTTGTCTCTCCTCTGCACTTTACAAATATTATTTCATTAGTCCTCAAAACAACCAAAGGAGAAAAAATGGGTAAAATGGGTTACCCATTTTACACTTGAAGAAACTTTGACAGACTTAATTGCCTTGCTCATGGTTTCATAGGTAGTATCTGCAACTCAACTTAAACTCAGGTCTTCCCCCAAGTTGATTGCCCTATTCACTGTGCCACCTAGCTGTCTCTAGCAGCAAATGTTTGTTGATGGATTGAATTAATTCCCTGTATTAGGAAAGGCTTGTGTGAATGCACAGAATAAGAGGATAAAATGTCAAATTTAGAGAACAGAGAATAGTTCAGTTAGCCTGAAACTTAGAGTATATGAAGAAAGAGTAATATGAAAGGCAGGTTAGAATCAGATCATGGAATGTCTCAAATACATAGATTGATTTTATATTTTACCCTGAAGCACAAGAAGGAATGCAGGCTGTGCCAAGGCACACTCCAATATCTTTTAAAATGAAATGACATTCTTTTTAATTCATCTTAATTGCATGACATACTCTGAATTTTAAAGAATGGAGTCTTTTATTATGCATAACCATTATGATTAAAGTCACTTAATTTATGTTTTCTTTAATTTGATGAAATAGAATCACGGCCTTTATGTCTGAGTAATAAATAAATGTTTGCCTGAATTAATCAACAAATAGATTAATGAATGAACCAACACATGAATGGATCAATAAACAAAGAAATAAACAAACAAGTAAATGAGTAATTGAATAAATGAGTAGATAGATAGATAGATAGATAGATAGATAGATAGATAGACAGATAGACAGACAGATGGAAGACAGAATTCCTTGCGCACAGACTAATGAAATTGGCTGCAAACACTGATGTCCTGAAGAAAACAAGGAAACAATGAGGATGTTTGAGGAAGGCAGTGACATGGCCAGAATATTGCCTTAGGAAGATTATTCTGGCAACTTCATAAACAGAAGGCAGAGACTCAAATCGGGAAGGCCAATTAGTAGGTTAGTAGTAGTAGTAGTAGTAGTAGTAGTAGTAGTAGTAGTAGTACTTGTTGTTGTTGTTGTTGCTGTTGCTGTTGTTGTTGTTTGTCCTTAGTTTCAAAGAGGACCAATGGCATCATTGTTGACGTCTTGACTTGCATGAGAATTAGATTTGAATGAAACAGTGGCACAAAGTTGCCAGTCTCTCTCTTCCTGAGTTATCAAAGTCCAGTGGCAAGACAAAAGTCAAGACATCTGGCCATGAAGGATCACGGTGTCTTCAATCTCTGAGCACTCCAAAGCATCTTCTTCAGTTGCCTTTATGGCCTTTGGAACAAATTGTCTTCTGCCCATTCTGCCAGGGGAAATCTCCACGTGCTTGCAGGAGACATCCCCCTGACTCACCAACAGGTTTGAGGCCTATCTGTTACCCTCAACCTTGTATAGCCTGTCTATTGGAATGTTTTCTTGGGGTGTGGCTGCTGTGTGTGCTACAGCTTCTTGGAGCCACAGGTGAGAAGTGGGTGAATCAGTTGCACACTAAAAATGGATGAGCAGTCCTGAAAAAGGCTCAGCAAGCCCTCACACCAAAGGTGTTAGTCCTCCTGAACAATCAGAAAGAGCCAGTAAAAGCCTGAATTAAGGTAGTGTCTGGGAGTCTTAACGGTCTGAGTAAATACCAATATGCCCTGCATAACATTACCTGTCCAATTATATTTCATAATAAAGTCAGTAATTACATATGTGTCTGTGTATATAAGTATATGTAGTGTTCTATGCATTTGTGCATATATACATAAAAATATACACATACACACACATACATACACACATATATATGTATATGTATAGCTCCAAATCCTGCTATCATCTTTTTTTTGGCCAATCATATTTTTGTTAAGCACAAAGTTTTTTTCATTCTTTTTGTTTTATTTTTAATTCTCTCTCTCCCTTCTCACTGCCCCACTCATTGAGAAGGTAAGAAAAACAAAGCTCATTACAAATACGCCTAGTCATGGAAAACAAATTTCCACATTAACTATGTTCCCAAAAAAGAAACCCGAAAAAATAAAAAACAAAAACCCAAGAGAAAAAATGTGCTTCAATCTACTCTCTGAGTCAATCAGTTCTCTATCTAGAAATGGACAGCACAAATCGTGCATTCTTGACATCATTCCGATACATATATATATTTATGTATATGCATATGTACATGTCATCTTCCCTGACTAAATTAGAAGCTTCTTCATATTTCCAACACCTCACCCATAGTAGGTGCCTAATAAATGCTGTTGATTAATGAATTATAACACTTGTTGGCAGGAAACTCTGCTGCTTACTGTGAGGACTATAAAGGTAACCAAGATACATGGTTCCCGTACTAAAGGACTTTACAGTCTATTGGATATTGGAAAAATCTTCAGGTGGGTGTTTACATTTAATATTACTCTCAAAATATGCACATAGACAGGCTTCTCTCTATTCAGAAGCTTCCATCCATTTTTAATGTAGATTACATATGACAAAACCATTAGGTGCCACTCTCTTCTCCCCTCCCCCCACCCCAAGATGGCATGCATTCTGAATATCCCTTCCTCTAGTCTGCCTTCCCTTCTATCTCTCCCCCCCTTCTCTTCTCCCCCTCCCCTTCAATTTTCCTGTAGGGCAGGATGGATTTCCCAGTTGCATATAAAAACATTTTTTTTAAACATGTGTTTTTAAAACTTTGGGTCCCAAATTTTGTCCCTTCCTCCCTCCCCACTAACCCTCATTGATAAGACAAGCAACTAAATATAGGTTATATATGTGCAATTATGCAAAACACTTCCATAGTAGACATGCTGTGAAAAACTAACTCTATTTCCCTTAATCCTATCCCACGCCCCCATTTATTCTATTCTTTCTTTTGACTCTGACCCTCCTCAGATGTACTTGCTTCTGATTACCCCCTTTCCCAATCTTTCCTCCTCTCTATCATCCCCCTACTCTCTTGTCCCCTTCCCCACCCCCATATTTTCCTGTAGGGTAAGACAGATTTCCATACCCAATTGAGTGTGTATGTTTTTTCCCTCCTTAAGTCAAATTCTATGAGAATAAGATTCACTCATTCCCTCTCACCTTCCCCCATTTCCCCTCCACTGTAAGAGCCTTTTCTTTTTGTTTTTTTTTGTGACAAAATTTACCCCGTTCTACCTCTCCCTTTCTCCTTCTCCTTGTATAATCCTCTCTCACCCCTTAATTTTATTCTCCAGATATGACCTCTTCATCTTCAACTCACCCTGTGCCCTCTCTCTCTCTCT